AAGTGATTTATACAGAATCTTAAATAAAAAAAAAGTTCTTCTGTCACTTACAGAGATATAAAAAGTTTTCCTTCTTGATGAAATCTTTTTCATGATAAAAAAGTTTTTCTCGATTAAAAACATCATTTTTAGTGTTTCAAAAATGATCCTTTTTCTGGGTGAAAAATATTATTTCTAATATTTAAGAGAAATTTTTCTCTCTGGACAAAAAATATTATTTTCAATTTTCAAAAAATAAAAACAAAAATCAAAAAGCATAAGTACTATCTTCTTATGAACTAAAAAGGTCGTTTTGTTATACGAATAATAGTTCATATTTAGGTCAATGGTTCGATGCAAGTGAATTGTAAGTACCTATGTTCAAATCTAGTTCATTGCATATGTTTGATAGGACTCGACGAATCGAAATCTATATTCGATGGGTTGGAACAACTCGAAATTGAGACATCTATCGGATAAGAATTCTATTGTTCGATGAAATTCCGATCCATCGGAAATGACTCCTCGAGTGGTTGAAAACTGCTAGTAAAAACAACCCATCGCTGAGCCCTCGACCCATCGGAAAATGGCACTCCCAGGGGTCGATTTGAAATTTCCATGCCCAACGGAAGCCAAAATCGACGCGTCGATATACCTCTCGAATGGTTGGTTGGGTAATATGTTTGTCAGCATTACCATAACAACCGTGCAGCGTATGTCGTCTTAATTCTAATTGTCATATTTCACGAAAGAAAGCATGACTTAAAAAGTTATCCCAGAATATGTTAGTATATTGATAAAAAGAAGGAGGGCATCGTTCGAACCGTCGATTATTTTATGAACCACAGTCAACCATAATTTTGATGAAAAACTAACGATATGGCTACTTATTTGAAATCGACATACCCTTATGAGCATATACAATACGAGACATCTGAGGATCAATTTTTGCCAAATTGTTTCCCATAACCGATGCAGAAAAAGCAATATTTTGTAGTATTACCTCAAATGATAACAAAGTATTTAATACATACTATAAATGCAGACATCTTTTCTAGGAGAAAAGGTCTGTGTGCGAGATATAATTGTCAAGACAACTGATGAATTAAACGTCACTGGCGATTGGTTACAGAAAGGAACAAAAGAAAACTTAAGCGAGAACAGATATTGCACTGTACAAGTGTACATTGAGTCTCGAAAAAATACCCCAGTGTTTTATCTAGATTCTGCCTCCTGAGAGGGAGGTTGTGGGTATGGGTAGGTCTAGGAATTCGCTACGCACACACCTACATCCCCACATCCACACTCACACTGGCAGAGATGGCACATATTCGGGTCCAAAGATACATCATAAGTGTCTGTGGATGTTATTAAGGATGAGCTAACTGTTAATATACGATATAAGGAGGAGATAATGAGCGCTAATGTGGCGAGAGTTATTTTCATGGTGTTTTTAGAGGATGTACTTTATTTTTATTAATCATACAAAGTGAGTATTAATAAGCATAACTTGTCGGCATGTGGATGTAAGTAAAATAGGTTTTGGTCATCCTTGAAATTGATAAACGAACAAAAAACATACTTTTTTCTAAATTGAAAACTTAAATAGAAATCAGTTGATTTATGGATCCATAACCATTGAATCTTAGATTTGAGAACTTAAATAAAGTTGAAGGGAGTTTCTATCTGATAAGAAAATGATCTAGCGAATAAAAAAATTTTCATCATTATCTTTCCATTCAGTTGTTTGTTAAACATATTCAAAACTACGCTCGACATTATTTGTTAACTGATTGTGTACACAATTTGGTCACTTTTTTTTTATCACATAATTGGTGTGTTTTCTTTTCTTTGTTTGACTCTGATTTGAATCAGTCTGAATAAATACACTAGACCAATGGCAATTGTAGGAATATAATTGCCGAAAATAAAATAGTATTCGCCTATAAACAAATTGGACGACAGATTCATTTAATATTTTTCTCTTGAAAAGCCCATTTATTCAATGTTTCGCTGGCGGTAATGATTATAAAGCGAATAGTTGAATAAAACATGAGTCAAACTAATATTCATCTTGTTGACTTGCCAAATGAGATATTGCTTACTATATTGAAAAGACTTGATAATATAAATGTACTGTATTCATTAATGGGTGTCTTCAATGAAGAATTTGATATTCTATTACAAGATAATATTTTTACAAATACTCTCAATCTGATTTCAAGATCATCGATTGGTGATAATAATATTTCTTCAATTGATGATCGAATATTTGATCGTTTTTGCATTGATATATTACCAAAAATTCATCATAATGTCAAACATCTTATTATTGAATCAATGTTTATGGGACGTATACTTCTTGCTGGCAACTATCCAAATTTAACATCTCTCAGATTGTTTAATTTCGGACAACATATCGCTTTAAATTATTTTACAGGTAAATATTCATACATAAAAAAGTCAAAAAAATGTATAGTAGCATTAAAGTAAAACTAGATGTATGATTTGATTGAATTTTTTTTTGTCTGATTTAGATGAATCAATCTTTCAACATATTTTCAAATATCAAATAACAGAACTTATTCTTGAAAATAATAATAATAATAATAACTGTAATAGTATAGAGGAAAGAATATTATCAAAAGAATATATTGAAAATGTCTATGTATCTATATTGACTTTATTCAAAAATCTTAAGTATTTAAGTATTGTTGGATCATCCATGATTAATCATCCATCATTGTCAATATGTCATTTACCATCAACTACTTTTATCTCTTCGATCCTTACAAAATTATGTATTAATGTAACCAGTTTAGATGATTGTCTTTATTTACTTGATGGTCGTCTTAAACAATTAACTATATTCATTGTTCAAATAGATTATATTGACAATAATTCATCGACAATTCATAATACCGTAAGTTCATATTTTATTTTATAATTATTTTCAATATAAAGATTATTATCGATCATAATGTTAAATTAATTAATAATGCAATACATTATTTATTTGTTATACGAGTAAAAATCGAATAAAACACTTGACTTTTTTCCATAATTAATTCTACTTCAATACAATTGTCTAATTGAATGATTAAATAACGAAAAAATAATTGAAATTTTATATAGATAATTTCAATAGGTAAACAGTTGACTTCGCGAGTGAAGTCTCTGCTGTTTCTTCTCGAATAATTCCATTAACAAATATACGATAATCTTTGTCGATAAATTTTTGGAGTTCTTTTAATCTGTATTGTAATTTATATAGTGAAAACTTAGAAAAGTAAATCATTTTGTTTCAGTTGTTATCATTAGAAAATCTTATACATTCACATTAAATATGAGAAAAAATTTCAAACAATTTGATTGATAATTTATATAAAATTTTTTCTTAAGTTAATTGATATAAATGTACTCTGTAAATTTATGTTTATATTTTCTAGAATGATCTATCAAATTTGAAATATTTCTCATTAACATGTTATGATCTAACTAATGAATATGATAATCGAGTGATACCTTTACTTCGTCGTATGATATATGTGGAAATATTAACTTTATATGTTCGTCTTGAAGATCGATCAACATTTGTTGATGGTACTTATCTACATAAGGAAATTCTTATGCAAATGTCACAACTTCATACATTTTAGTTTTATATTAGTACTCAAATTCAAATTGATAATTCAGTTCATCGTTTATCTGATTATGATATACAACAAACTTTTACAAAAATAGGTTATCATCAAATATCTTGTACTGTAAATTATTATTGTGCATTCAAAGCAATATGTCATGTTTTCTCACTTCCATTCATATTTGATCGTCTTGAAATGATTACCAATCGATTTCCAACTATAATATTTCATCATGTTACTTATTTGAAAGTATTTGATGCGATTCCATTCAAA